TAAAGATGTCTGCCATCACTTCATGGCCTCAATGGCTTTCTAGTGCCTATCGCTTCACCCTGATCTCCAGGCAAACTTTATTTTGTAAACCACAAGCAATATATTCCAACATCCGAGTACTTTACCATTTAGACTATCACATTCTAACCTCTGACCCACATGTATGCATAGCCATATTTAATGAGAAATTCATTCAGTGGGACCACAAAATTCCCCACAATCTTTCATAGTCTTAACACAGTTTTAGTGTGTGAAGTCTATCCAAGTCTCAAGGCAATCTCTTCAATGTAACATGCTCAAAAACAAAAATATTGTTTCAACATGAAATGGAAAGGAATACACATTACCACTCCAAAATGGAGGTAAAGTTTCATAGTGAGAAAAAATTTTAAAGTAAGGCCAAAGAAAAGGTGGGGAAGTCAATATCTTCTTAGTCCATATTCAGTGCAGTAGACTTAGAAGGTCTTTCCATTCCTGCTGTGTTGGGCTAGCTTTATTGCCTTTCTGCAGCACTTCTATACAATTACCTCAGAGACCTGGCATCTCCAACAAATTGGAGTCTTCAAGGCCTTCCAGGATTCACCATCACAATTCCAGACAATGGCTCTCTCTGGCCTCACAGGAACTCCTTTGCCACCTGCCTAAACTCAGTTGTTTTTCTTGACTGAAGTAAAACATTTCCCTTTCCTTGGCACTGTTTTTGATGATATCATCAGCTCCAGAAATCAACACAGATACTGACTATGGTAGGGCTATGGACACAGACATGGTCCTCAGCAGCATCCCAGGCACAGATGACACCATGGCACGGCCAATGGAAAGCAACTTGGCCACTTAGCATTCCACTTAGACCACGGACATCTATGTGGCCATGTTGTTACCATGGGCCACAGGCATTATTGGCCCTAATTGTGGAGGAAGATGTACAGAGATTTGTCCCCAGGCAGCAGCCCAGATTTGGGTGTGACCATGGTACCTGGTAGCATCTAAGGCCACTCTAATTGGTAAGGCTCCAGTGGCAGTGTGGCAAACACACACCAACATGGCCCAAGGTCCCAGCCAATACCCCAGATATTGCATTGTATTTTGTGGTATTGGATGTAATGGATATCAAGCCAGATGCTGAGGACTGTAGGGCCATGGAACCAGACATATCTCCCGGCTTCAGTCCATGACCAGATGTCTCCCAGTGGGAGGAGTGGCCACCCTGATCAATATGGCCCATCTAGTACCATGGTCCATGATCCACAACTGGGGATCCCCATGGTCTTTTTGGCAACATGGGGCTTTGACATCAACAGAGTGAATTTTGGGCCTAGGGAATTGGCATTCACAGTGAGCTTTGAAGATAGTAATCACATGAAGAAATTATACAGATTTTATTGTATCAGAAAATGTACTTTATTGAGTTTTCCAATAATGGGTGAAATGTTAACATTTACTAAGGTTACTTTTTACTGCCCATTAATTTTCCATGAAGGTGCCAGCAATCAAGAATGTAAACACAGTATTCAGAAATGTGTCTTCATGGGCTGCGTTATTTTGTTAACAGTTTATATCAAGGCAATCTCAGTAAGCTTGCTGTGGGAGGAAATCAGGCCGCATTGTTTTTATAATGGGAAAACTCACTATAGATTAAAACATGTTTAGAAAGCATCACTTGAATTACTAAGATCACTCACCTGTATCAGGATAATCTCCTTTGTTTCATGCGAAGCATTTTGCCCATGAACATATGGAAAAAGTGTTTTTGTTGTGGTTGTTGTTGCCTACAGAGTTGTAACTGCACTTCTTTGAAGAGTTGTCAGCATGCCATGAGTCTGCATTCAGGTCTTTGAACTTAAATTTCCTTCCTCGGAATTGCAGCACTCTGGTGCCTGTGGGAGATCTGAACTCTCTCTTATTGCTCCTTATTGCTCCTGGGATAATATCTCTTCCTGCTTCCTAGGTCTGTGTGATTGAGTCTCACATCTCACAATGTAAAGTATAATTCAGAGAGGAAAAGAGATATTTTTATTTATTACCATCTCCAGGAAAGATTTCTTGTTTAGTTTTTACTTAAATTAAAAACCATCCTAGTTTTCCCACCTGTCCCAGTTCCCTCTCCGTCCCTTCCTTCTGTTCCCTCCACTTTCACCCATTCCACACCCCATCCACTCTTCAGGGAGGGTGAGACCTCCCTTGGGGGAATCTTCAAAGTGTTTCCCATCACCTGGGGCAAGACCTAGGTCCTTCCCCTTGTACCTAGGCATAGAGAGTGTTGTTCCATAGGGAATGGGCTCCCAAAGCATGTTTGTGAACTAGGGTTAAAGGCTGTTTGCACTGCCCACACACCCAGTTGACATCAGGGGGCCTGGTTTGCTCCTATGATGGTTCTCCAGCTGTCAGTCTGGGGTCCTTGCACTCTCACTTCGTCAGGTAAGTTGTTTGGGTGTTTTTCTCCAGCATGGCCTTGACCCCTTTGCTAATCATTCCTCCCTCTGTATAACTGGATTCCAGGATTCAGCTCAGTGCTTAGCTGAGAATCTCTGCTTTTGCTTCCATCAGCTACTGGATGAAGGCTCTAGGATGGCATATAAAGTAGTCTTCAATCTCATTATAGGGGAAAGCCATTTAAGGCTGCCTCTCCACTATTGCTTATGTTCCTGGCAAGATCTTTATTGCATGCAGTCTTACTATTCCATCCTTCTTCTTTTACCCTGTTCATTTATAGTCCTATTTAGAAACTAGGTTCCTAGCTGGGCAGTGGTGGTGCATGCCTTTAATCCCAGCACTCGCGAGGCAGAGGCAGGCGGATCTCTGTGAGTTCAAGCTGGGCTGGACCGATAGCCTCCAAAACAATACAGAGAAATCCTGTCTCGAAAAACCAAAAACAAAAAAAAAAAAAAAAGAAAAGAAACTAGGTTCCTGTGTCTACATGTCTGTGTATTGCTCCTGATGTCACTCTTTAGGTTTCACGCATCACTGAATTGGTCCAAGTTTCATTCTTTTATTTGAGCATAATTATTTTCACATATGATTAATTGATGAGGCCTTCTGTTTTAACATACGTTTTAAGTGTTTTGGTGAAATTCAGATACTCACAGCTCCTTGGGAAGGTTCTGTATCTGCTGTTTTTAAAGCGTGGATTTTCTTCTTTCCTGTTCCTCCCACGGTTCTATTGTTTGTGTGGCATTGGTGAAATCATAGGTGGGAAGAATCAGTGTCAAGATATTCCCTGACATTGTTCTGTACTCTTAGGGTGTTTTTCGTTCCTTAGCTGTCTCCTGATTACTATTGTGAGCAAAATTAGTGTATTAATTTTCAAAGTCATACTCCTTATTTTTCTGATCCCATGCTTTGTCAACTCATCTGTTAGAAACATAAGATTTGATCCATATGTATGGATTTTTTTCTCTATGGCTGTGTAGGTAACTGTCACTCAATCTGTGAGTGTGCTAGTTATCAATCCCAGTAATAATGGTTGCATATTTCATAACAAGTTGCTTGATGAGATGCTGAGGTCAGCACCAGGTTATGGTGTGAAAATAGTCTTGTAAAAGCACTGTGAGCACTTACACATGTAGCATAATATCATGTGTGTATCCTCTCTTACGGGCCGTCTCCATTCCAGTTATAGGCTTTTGGCCAGGTTTCCAATTTTTTGCAAATATTTCTTTTTGTGGATCAGTTCAAAAATCCAAACAGAATGCATTCCGTTACATAGAAAAATGTCTTCCCAATAGGACACTGCTTTTGGAAGCAAAGGGAAGCAACAAGCCAGCTGCATGCCAAAACTCTCATTCTTCAGTTCATTCAGTTAAACAGAGTGTTTGATATACATATATTTCTCTGTACGCCTCTAAGTCTCCTCAGCATCCCAACAACACAGAGAGAAACAGATTATGACCATGTCTTTTCAGTTTGTTCAATAGATTTTGTGATTGTTTTCATATGCAGAAACTGTTCTGTAAGTAACAAACTACATAGAATCATTTATACTACTTGGGTTCAAGGAGAGGGTGTTGCTTACAAAAAAAGGAAAGCACATCTTTGCTGACCAGCCTACTGCTGATAGATTCTGGGAGCTCTTTTGTTCCTGTGTCTACCAGTCAGTATAGGGACATACTGTGCCTGGCAGGTTGGTGTTGTGTCATAGAGTGTCCACATCTGAGTAAGGTCATTGACAAGTCTTCTCCCCCACAAATGCATACAACACCTGGAGCACTTTGAATGCTAGCAATAGGGATCTAACATATTTTTTAAACACTCTGCTGGTCCTAGGGCATTTACCCTTTTCTCATTCTTAACTTGCTGATATATAAATCACAAGCTGATTTAGAACTTGAGTTTTGTGGCTTATTTCAAAGATTATCAGAATAGTTGTTTCCCATAGAATATCTGTAATTGTTTATATTCAGTTTTCTGTTACTAACAGTTTGGGATAAATTATTTAAGGCTCTAAAATGGACATTTTTCTCTTGTGTTGGTAACAATTGACTCCATGTACTGAGTTAATTTGCAAAGAGTAGATTACCACTCTGTTTGGAGGTGTCTGGACTCTTTCCATTTTTCCACATTGGGTTAATGTTAGATATAGGATTATGGCTTCTAATGTACCTTGTAGTGAAGTATGTTCTTGCTATTCCATGAATATTAAAATCCTTCACAATGACAAAAGATGAAATTTTACCATTTTTCTGTTGTGACTATATTAAATTAATCATTTTCCTTCTTTCAAAACCTAAAATTTGCTGACTTACATGGATAAATCTGTACATGTTAAACAGGTTTTTTTTTAATACTTCATCTTTGGAGGGAAATATACATGGCCATTCACCTTGTGATTTCTGCAAACTCAGAGTGCATTTCTCTATTTGCATGTATTACATTACCTCCAGTCTTTAGAATAAGCATCCTTGTGCCATTTTCTTAATGTCATTTGTGACCATTACTTTTTTTATTGGATTTTTTTTCTCATTTTTTGAAGTGGAGAGCTCATTAGACAGCTGTTTGCTCATCAGACACTCTCTATGCAGACAAAGTTTGAAGCAAATAATTTAAACGTTTCTCTCTTTGTTAGGTGTTGAGATTTAAGTGGTCCTAGCAGACCATGCTCCACTATGTTTGGGGATTTGTTTTGGTTTGATTTGATTTGATGTGTTTGGGTGCTTGGGCAGCTTGTATGTGTGTGCAGTAAGCTTGCCTGATGAAAGCCGTTATGTAAATGATCCCGTGGTTGGCGACTTTACAGGACAGGAAATCAGAAGCCAGGTGATCTGGGCGGAGCTAGGAGGAGCCTCTCTGGGGAACCAGGCTGAAGGAACCGGAAATTCCTCCATTCCCTGTTGTACTCGGGGATCCTCATGGTCCAGAACAAGGTAAGAAATTGTGGCCGGGTCCGAGGGAAACTGAAAGTCCGGAGCCGCAGTGTCCGCACGCGGCGTGAGGCCTGGGAAAGTCAGCGTCAGCAGCAGCGCAGTGGCGGGAACCGCAGCCCGGCGGCCCTGGAACCTCCCAGGTCATAGGAGCCGCGGTGCTGGGACCCGGGTGGGAGGGGACAGGGCTGTGCCCGCTGATGCTGCTCTTAAGGACACCTTCAGCTCTGCCGGCCATGTGGCCGTGTAGGCTGCTGCTCAGGTCGTCACTCGTAGCTGGGTTCGGTCGTTTCGGTCCTAAAGAGCCAGGCGCCTCTCCGTGCTCCACGCGCGCCCCTTAAAAGTGCCGCCTGTCCCGGTTCTGTCTCTTGGTCCTGGTTTGCTCTCTGACCGCTTCTCTGTCTGGGGGTCTCCTCTCTCCTGGCCCCGCTCCCAGACGGCCTTCTCTTCTGCTCATCCTCCTCCCCAGGCACGCGCTCACCTAGACCTGTTGCTCATGGAGTGCGCTGTTAGGTACCCAGTTTCCACCGCCTTATCCTTTCAGACACAGCTTTCGATACCCTGTCGTTGATATCTTTCCATGGACGGCAGGTTTGAGATACCATGAAGTGGTCATTAGTTTGTGTTTCCTTTCCTTTTTGCACATACCGTTGCCAGACTGTTCTGTCATAAAATAACTCTTAATATCATCTGGTAGAGCATTTTCATTGTGTTTGTTTGCACACAGGGAATCTTTGCTATGGTGGCAATTCCGCAGCTACTGGTATTTAAATTCATCCATGCTTTCTGAAATCCCTGTTTTACTACTTGCTTCTACTTCAAGAGAGTGTCCTTTGACCCTGACACTAGACATCCTGAGAGAGCTTTGTAGATAACAATCACCAGTGCAGATATGATTAAAGCGAATATATTTTATGGAGTGCCACACATACGCTTGTAAACATTAATGAAACGATTTACATCCCATTATTTTCCGTCATATCCATGTTCAATCTTAGATGTAAATACAGCATTCAGAAATGTGTCTTCATGTGCTGTGTTCTCATGTTACATCATAGATCCAGGCAAGGTCAACATGCATGCTGTGATAATATATCATGTCACATAATTTTCAATTAGCAAACTCACTTTGAATGAAAATGAAATTGTGAAGCATCTTTTGAATATTTATAGTCGCTCACCTGTATCTGAAAATGTCTCTTTTGTTGAAGAAAGGGTCTCTGCCCATGCACATTTGCCGGAGTGTGGTTTTTCTTTTCTTTCATGATCAATGCTGTGACTGTTGGTCTGTTGTAGGAGGAGTGGGAATGTCTCAGCCATGCTCACAGTGCATTTACAGAGATCTCCTGCTGGAGAACTGCAACCGTGACTGTTCTGGTGTGAGAATAGTTTCTTGCAGTCTTCCTTTATCTTCCTCAGAGTTCCTGGAAAACTACTCAGCCTGTCTGTGATTTGTGTTTGAATTGGTTGTCCTAGAAGTCACTCTGTAGACTAGGCTGACCTCATACAAAAAAAGAACCCTGCCTGCCTCTGCCTCCCAAGTGCTGGGATGCAAGGCATGCACCACCAGTGCCTGGCCTTATTTCTTCTTTATAGTATTTACTTGGTATCTTTTAAGCTTCTTGGTAAACACGGGGTATTTATGCATTGTATTATGAAGTGTTTCCTAATAAATGTCTGCGTCCTGTAGTCTGTTTCTTCCTAGTTTCAGTTATTACAATTTCTTAGTTTTTTTTCCAGCTACACATAGTCAAATTTCATCAATTCATTGAGTTAGACCTCGTTCCTTCTTTTATATGTGTATATTTATTTACTTTCCCTATAATAGTGGTTGATGAGTCTGCTTATTCTGTAAGGTAAGTAAGTTTTTGGCATTTTGATGAAATTCTGTTGGTTGCAGCAGATGAAATTGATTCTGAATCTGCTGCCCCTAATAATTTACGTGTCCACTCTTCTGCCACTGTCCTGGAGCTGTTGTTCCTGTGGATCTGCAGTGTCATGTGTAATCACAGCTGGGATCACTGAAGTTTCGCTCTCTTTTTTTGGCCTTTCTTTGCAATTTTGTAATTTGTAAATAATATAAATTAGTAATTTTCTCTTTACTGACTCTTAAGTAATTCCTGTGTCCCTTGATTGTCACAAATTTTTAGTTAAAAGTAATAAGTCTTTTAACACTGTCATTTTCACAATAATGAAGTCTGTTTCGTGGGCAGACAAGTTTTTCCTGTCTTCCAGTATCAACTTGTATTCTTAGTGCGAATTGAAATTTTTTTATTTGTCTCTTGTGCTTGGTTAACTGTTTTTCTTTTTTCATCTATTTTTTGTTTATTGTTTACTTGGAGTAAATTAAATAGAAGCAAAAACAGATTAAAAAATCTTCTCTAATTGGTTTGTTCTATGTATGAGAAAAACAAACAAAAGTTCTGCCTCTATAAAGCCATTGACGCCTCAAGTTCTATTTGTATGCTTTGTTTTTAATTTTTACACTTAGGAAATATTGATATATAATGATTGTGCAATGTTATTTGCTCTTTACCCTGTTTTCACCCTCTGTCATATACTGGCTAGACATGATTTCCTCCCAGTTGTCCCTTGCATATTTCATGTATGATTTTGTGTGTGTTTGGGCCAGGTAATAAGGCTGTAATATATCAGTAATTTCTATTGCCATGTCATAAGTCAGAATTTTTCATCAGTGGCCTCCTCATCCTCCAGCTCTTATCAACTTTTATCTCCTTTGCTTTAACGTAGCCTGCAGTGTAGATGTGGGAACATGGAATTCCTTTCAGAGCCTGTGCTGTAAGCAGTCAGTTGTTCTCAATATTTGATGAGTTATAAGTCTGTGAAATAACTATTGTCCATTTAGAACAGGGTTTCTTAGACCCCTGTCAAAAGCAGCCCCTGGCTTTGGTGGTATTGCAGTCAGTGAAAGGCAGTTTGAGTATGTATACATGTAGCAGAATGTCAGTAGTGGATTCTCTCCTAGGGCCTGCCACCTTCACCCTCACAGGTTTTTGGCCAGGTTGTCCATGCCATGCATATATTTCCATGTGTGGAGCGTGCTTCAGATCAAACCAGCAAGCCTTCTGTTATCCCAAAAATAGTCCTGCTCCAATGACAACAATGGGCATTTCTTGCCTGGCAGGATGGGATTATAGCAAAAAGGATTCAAATCTGCCTATGATAGTGGTCCATGCTGTTGCCTCTCTTGCTCTTCCAAAGCTGTCTGCTTCTCTCCTGTGCCCATCCCAGATGGCCGTTCCCTCTTTTACTCATCATCTGCCCACTATATAAATCTCCCCCTAGACCTGTTGGATGTCAGTTGCCCATCTGGTCCCGGGCCACGTCTTCATCCTTAAAGACACACACACACACACACACACACACACACACACACACACACACACTCACTCACACACACACACATTTTTTATGTGTCGCTTTGGAGCCTGTCCTCGAACTCTCTGTGTTGACCAGCATGACCTTGAACTTACAGAGGTCTCCCTGCCTTTGTTCCCCCTTGATCTCCTTTTATTTTCTTATTTCTCTAGAAGGAGTTTCAAGTGTAATATTGAAGAGATATGGAGTGAGTGGACATCTTTGTTTTGTTCATGATTTTAGCTGTTTAGCCTTTAGTTTCTCTCCATTTAGTTTGATGCTGGCTGTTGTTTTCCTGTATAGAGCTTTTATTATGTTTATGTATGTTACTGTTATTCCTGATCTCTCCCAAGACCTTTATCATGAAGGGGTGTTGGATTTTGTAAAAGGCTTTTTCAGCATCTAGTGGGATCATGTGGTTTTTTTTTTTTCAGATTAATTATGTGGTGGAATCTATTGATGGATTTTCATATGTTGAACCATCCCTGCCTCCCTGGGATGAAGCCTACTTGATCATGGTCGATGATTTTTCTTATGTGTTCTTGGATTCAATTTGCCTGTATTTTATTGAGTATTTTTGCATCAATGTTCATGAAAGAGTTTGGTCTGTAATTCCCTATCTTGGTTGTATCTTTGTAAGGTTTTGGTACTATGGTAATTGTACACTCGTAAGAAAAATTTGGCAGTGATCTCTCTAATTCTATTGTGTAAAGTCAATTTGAAGAATATTGGTATTAGCTCTTCCTTGAATTTTTGGTAGAATTCTGCACTGATGCCAACTGGTCCTTGACTTTTTCTGGGCGGAAGCCTTTTTGGCTGCTTCTATTTCTTTAGGGAATATAGATCTGTTCAAATTTTTAATCTGTCCTTGATTTAATTTGTTACGTGATATGTATCCAGAAAATCATCCATTTCCCTTAAATTTCCCAATTTAGTGGAGAACAGGTTCTCAAAGTATGACCTGATTATTCTTTGGATTTCCCCAGTGTCTGTTGTTATGTTCTCTTTTTCATTTCTGATTTTATTAATTAGCATGCTCTCTCTGTGTGTTTTGGTGAGGTTGGATAAAGTTATTCCTATTTTGTTGATTTTTCTCAAAAATTAACCCTTGTTTTCATTGATTCTTTGTATTGTTTTCTTTGTTTCTACTTTATTGATTTCAGGTCTCAATTTGATTATTTCCTGGTGTCTACTCCTCCTGGATGAGTTTGCCTCTGTTTGTTCTATATATGTTAGGTATTCTGTTAATTCTTTAGTGTGGCAATCCTCCAATTTCTTCATGTGGGCACTTACTTCTATGTGTTATCCTCTTCGAACTGGTTTCAAAGTATCCCAAAGGTTTGGGTATGTTTTGCTTTCGTTTTCACTGAATTCTAGGAAGTCTTTGATTTCTTTCTTTATTTCTTCCATTACTCAGGTTGATGAAATTGAGCACTGTTCAATTTCCATGAGTTTGTGAGGTTTTTGTAATTTGTTTTGACATTGAATTCTAATTTTAAGCCTTGGTGGTCTGACAAGATACAGGGTGTTATTCCAATTTTTTTGTGTATGTTGAGGTTTGCTTTATTGCCAAGTATGTGGTCGATTTTTTTAATGATTATTGATGATCAATTTATTAAGGAAAACCACTCATGAGAGAAGCCAATAACCAGAGTAGTGCTCAGAGAAAGCCATTCTCAGTTGCACTCTGACACCTGACTGGAACCTGAAAAGAGAGTGAGTCCCCTTCCTCTCAGCTCTTTATTCCATGCACCTTCAAGGTCTCTGTGACTATGACCAAATGAGTGTGGTCAGAGCCACAGGTACGCTATCTAAGATCTCTCCCTACATTCAAGAATGTCCACCCCTTTTTAGACATATGATGTGATACATAGGTAGTTTTTGAGAAATCTCTTGACTTCCTTTTAGCTGCAGGAAGGAAGTATATGAGACTTCCTATTTCCCTTGTCTTCACAAGATTCCTTCTGTGATCTCTTTTAGTTTTGGTTGACTTTCAACTTTTGCAGTATTTCCTCCTATTCTCTTGCTGAAACACACATGCTGAAAAATCTACTTATAGACGGTCTTCTCTATGTGTGTAATTATTTACTCTTTTTGTTTTCAAATAAACAATTTTCTATGACTTTTGAGAATGTAATTATGATTTGATTAATGAATATATTTTTATTATAATGTATGTGCTTGTTTTGTTTTATTCATTTTTAAATTTAAATTAGAAACAAGGTTGCTTCACAAGTCATTTCCTCTTCCCTCTGTGTCCCTCCCCTCCTCCCGTGCCATCCCTCCACCCCTCCCAATATTCCCTCATTTCCCCAGGGATGGTGATGCCCTCCACTGTGGTGTCCATAGTCTATCATTTCATCCAGGGCAGTGCCTAGACCCTCCCCCAAGAGTTCAGGGTGAGATTGCATCTCACATTGTTGGAGATTATTTAAATTGCTTATATGGTCTTGATTTAATTTTGGCAAGTGATAACTCTCCAGGAAGTCATCCATTTCCTTTACATTTTTCAATGTTTGGAGGACAGGTTTTCAAAGTATGAACTGATGTATCTGCATTTCCTCAGAGTCCATTGTTATGTCCCTCTTTTCATTTTTGAATTTGTTAAGTTTCATGTTCACACTCTGCTGTTTGGTAATTTTTCACAAAGGTTTGTCTATCTTGTTGATTTTCTCAAAGATCCAACTCTTCATTGCATTAATTTTTTGTATTCTTTTCCTAGTTTCTACTTTATTGATTTCAGTCCTCAATTTGATTATTTTCTGGCATCTACTCCTCCTGGGGGTGTTTACTTCTTTGTGTTCTAGAGCTTTCAGCTGTGCCGTTAATTCTCTAGTATAACTATTCTCCAGTTTCTTCATGTGAGCACTTAGTGCTATGCTCTTCCCCCATAGCACTGCTTTCAAAGTGTCCCTTGAGTTTGGGTATGCTGTGTCTTCATTCTCATTGGATTCTATGAAGTCTTTCATTTCTTTTTTAAATTTCTATTTCACCCAGGAATGGTGCAATTGTTCATTATTCAATTTCCATGAGTTTGTAGGGTTTCTGCAATTTGTGTTGTTGTTGAATTCTAATTTTAAAGCCTGGTGGTCTGATAAGATGCATGTGGTTATTCCAATTTTTTTTGAAGTTGCTGAGATTTCATATGTTGCCAAGTATGTGATGGATTTTTGAGAAGGTTCCATGTGGTGCTGAGAAGAAGGATATTCTTTTTTATTTGGGTGGAATGTTCCTTAGATGTCTGCCAATCCCAATTGGGTCATAACTTCTATTAGTTCCTTTGCTTCTTTGTTAAATTTCTGTCTGGTAGTCCTGTCTACAAGTGAGAGTGGGGAGTTGGAGTCACCCACTATAAATGTGTAGGGGTTTATATGTGCTTTGAGTTTTAGTAATGTTTCTTTTATGAATGTTGGTGCCTTTCTATTTGGGGCATAGATGTTCAAAATTGAAACTTCATCTTAGTGGATTTCTCCTTTGATGAATATGAAGTGCCCTCCTTCATCCCTTTTCCTTGATTTTATTTTGAAGTCTAATTTTGTAGATATTAGGATTGCTATCCCTGCTTGATTCTTAGGTCCATTTGATTGGAAAATCTTTTCCCAACCCTTAACACTGAGGTAATGTCTCTTTTTTAGGGTGATGTATTATTCTTGTATGCAGCAGATGTGTGGGTCCTTTTCTTATACTCCATTCTGTTAGCCTGGTCTCTTTATGGGCAAGTTAAGACCATTAATATTGAGGCATATTAATTAATATGGATTGTTCATTCTTGTTTGTTTTGAAATAGTTGATGGTGTTGGAAATATATGTGGATATCCACCTCTTTTCTTTTGGCTGTTGGTAAGGCGACATTATCTATTACCTATGTTTTTCTGGTTGTAGTTAACTCCCTTGTTTTGGGATGTTCCTCCAGAACTTTCTGTAGGCCTTGGTTAGTGGATACATATTGTTTAAATCTGGTTTTCTTGTTGAATATCTTGTTTTCTCCATCTGTAGTGATTGTAAGCTTTGCTGGTTATAACAGTCTGGACTGACATCATCTTCTTTTAGTGTTGGTAGAATATTTATCCAGGACCTTCTGTCTTTCAGAGTTTCCATGGAGATGTCAGGTGTGATACTGATAGGTTTGCCTTTGTATGTTATTTGGCGTTTTTCCTTTGCTGCTCTTAGTATTCTTTCCTTATTGTGTATGTTTGGGGGTTTTAGTATTACGTGGTGAGGGGATTTCCTTTTGTGGTCTATTCTATTTGGTGTTCTGTAGGCTTCTTCTACTATGGCATGTCTTTCTTTAAGTTGGGAAAGTTGTCTTTTATGACTTTGTTGAATATGCTTTCTCCCCCTTTGAGGTGGATTTCTTCACCTCCCTCTATACTTATTCTTCTTAGGTTTGGTCTTTTCACAGTGTCCTATATTTCCTGGATATTTTGTGTTATGGATTCGTTGTACTTTAGCTTGTCTCTAGTCGATGAATATATTTCCCCTCGTGTAACTTCCACACCTGAGGTTCTGTCTGCCATCTCTTGTTTTTTCTTGGTTATGCTCATATCTGTAATACCTGATCGTTTGCCGAGTTTTTCTATTTCTAGCATTCCTTCAGAGTGTGTTTTTTTTATTGTCTCTATTTCAGCTTTTAAGCCTTGTGCTTTTTGAATTGTTTCTTGTAATTTTTGTATTGTCTTTGCCTCTCTTTTTTGCATTTGATGAAGTGTTTGGTTTGTCTTTTCTTCTATTTCTTGCATTTTGTAGATTGCTTTTTTCCATTTCTTGCAGTTCTTGTATTTTTGGGGTTTGTTTTTTCTTCCATGTCTGTAAGGGATTTTCTCATATCTTCTTTGAGGGCCTCTATCATTTTCATGAAGTTGCTTTTAAGGTCTTTCTCATCTGCTTCTTCGGCTATGGAGTGTTCAGGTCTTGCGGGAGTAGATTCTCTAGTTTCTGGTGGTGTCAGGTTGGTTTTTCTTTTGGTGGGTGTGTTTTTGTATTGTCTCCTTCCCATTATTTCTTCCTATCATTGCAGAATGAGGCTCTTTCTCCACTGGTGTGTATGTGACCCTTTCCAGTGGGTGGGAGCAGGTACTTTATGGTGGCTTTCCTCTTTTGTGAATAAAGGCCATCCTAGCATCGGGACCTTAGCAAATTTTGGGTAGGCTGGACCCTTGCTTAGCCTATCCTATTGGAGGAGACTCTGACTTGTAAGCTGGCAGTCTCTGGGCAGGCTCAATCCCGCTGGTGTGGCATCTGGGTCTGCTGTGAGCAGTCCTCAGGTCTCCGTTTTTCTGCTCAGGCCATGGGTATTTAAGCTTGCCTCAACTCCCCTGTCCCATGGGTGTAAACTGGAACTTGAAAGCTGCCAATCTCTGTGCGGGCTGCATCCCTTCTGGCGGGGATCCCACACTGCAGTGTGCAGTCCTCAGGTCTCCAGTGTTTCTCTAATGTGATAAATCTTTTGCCCATTAATGTAATCTTCAATTCAATGAGACAATACATACAGGAGAGAAACCTTACATGTGTCCTGAATGTGAGAAATCCTTTTCAATGAAAGACTTACATAGAGATCATCAGAAAATTCATACAGGAGAGAAACCTTATAAATGTAATGAGTGTGACAAATCCTTTACATAGAAAAGCAGTCTTAGACTTCATCATAGAATCCTTACAGGTAGTAAACCTTATAAATGTGGTGAATGTGGCAAATCCTTAACCACAAAACACAGTCTTAGGACTCATCAGTGAATGCATTCTGGAGAGAAAACTTACAAAGGCAGTGAATGTGACAAATCCTTAACCACAACATGCTGTCTAAGAACTCATCAGAGAATCTATATTGGAGAGAAACCTTAGAAATGTAGTGACTGTGGTCAATCCTTTTCCAGGAAAGACTATCTTAGAGATCATCAGAGAATCCATACAGGAGAGAAGCCTTACTCATTTTACCAAGTAAGGCAGGCTTAGAATACATTATAGAATACATACAGGTGAGAAACATTACAAATGTAGTGAATGTGACATCCTTTTCCTGGAAAGGGAATCTTATAAATCATCACATAATTCCTACATGATGAAAGCCTTATTAATATAGTGAATGTGACATCCTTTTTGTTGTCTCACATCTTAGAAGACATCTGAAAACTCATACAGGTGAGAAACCTTTCACAATGTGGTGAGTGCTTGAAATCCTTTACTCAAAAAATACAAGCTTTGAACTCAAAAGAGAATGTAAACCTTTGAGAAAGTTGAGAATGTAGCAAATGTGAGAAAATCTTTCTCTCAGAATATGTTGCAGGAAATTGATCGCCCTCAGACACCTGAGTGATAATAATATCAACCTTGGATTAGGGGTGGAATTCAGAACTAGTTGACATGAAATTGCCAGAGTACATGGAGGTGAGTGGGAGACAGATAGATACACAGGAAGGAGAAGGAAGTGACTTGGGAGTTTTTCAGTCTTTTTGGTTTGAGGTGGTTGGAGGGACACTCTCTTGCTTGGTCTCTGTGCAAAGAGGAAGATGAGCAGGTTGCTTCATGCCCTATGAACGGGCAGGTTTTCACTCCAACATCTAACTCCAGAGTCTGTATAGGTAAATAAAACAATAGAGATTTAGTTAAATACTACATATGGAGGCTGTGGCCGAGCCAGTGACATCAAGACCAGAAATCCCACCAGTCCTGGTCCTGAGCAACAGGATATTGAATGCAGGGCTGTGGGACCACAGTCAGGTGAAACCACTGAGGACACAGAAAAACAACATGAACATGTCAGAAAATGCATAGAAAAGAGAAATAGTATAAATCTAGCAAATGCGAGAAATTCGTTAGTCTATTCTCATTTGTTGTTAAAAATCGGTTTATTCTGCATACAGTGTTCCTGCATGTTTCCCTTAAAGACAGGAGAGAGCACCAGATCTCATTTTATTGTGAGCCATACTGTGGTTGCTGGGAATTGAACTCAGGACCTCTGGAAGAACAGTCAGTGATCTTAACCTCTGAGCCATCTCTCCAGGCCTGTGCTTACTTTTTTAAAGAATACATTACAGAACTCTTTGGAGAGAGAACCCTGAGAGTGGTAGTTATCTTTGTTTGGGTCATTTTGCTCTGAAGATACACCATGACCATGGCAACTCTTCTCAAAGAAAACATTCAGTGATTGTTTGCAGTTTCAGAAATGTAGTCCACTGTCTTTGTTATGGGGAATGTAGTGACATGCAGACAGTCATGGTACTTGAGAAGGAGCTGAGAGAACTATGTATTGATCCTAAGGAAGGAGAAAGTGAGCTGTGTACTAGGTATGGCTTGAGCATGTATGAGACGTCAGTCCCTGCTTGCCTCGTGTCAGACCTCCTCCTAGAGCTAGAAGACCTGTGGGTGAAGGATTCAAACATGAGGCCATGTGGGCTATACCTGTTCAAACCAGCATAATAGTATGAAAAACCTTTTGTCTTCAGAATCACCACGAGTTTCCCTGTGGAAGAGAAAAGTTACAAATGTACCAAATGTACAAGCAAACGTCTTGACCTGTCTATGAAAACGTCTGGAACTTCATACGAAACATCAAAGGGGGTCCTGGGAATGGTGGCAATGGCGGTAGGCATTCTGGCTTTATGCGGAGTTCAAATGTGCCTTGTTCCATAGACAACAGTTTCATCACCAAGAATTGCCCACCTTAGCCCATGGCAATCTTGGTAGTCATGATGTCAACAAGCACTGCAGTTTTCCTTCCAGTATTTTTGGAGTGCTGTATTAGTGGGTATGTATTGTTTAAATCTGGCTTTGTCATGGAATATCTTGTTTTCTCCATCTATAGTGATTGATAGCTTTGCTGCATATACTAGTCTGTGCTGGCATCCATGGTCTCTTAGTGTTGGAAGAATATCTCTCCTGGACCTTGTGACTTTCAGAGTTTCCATGGAGAAATTAGGTGTGATTCTGATAGGTTTGCTTTTCTATATTATTTGCCCTTTTTCTCTTCCTGATATTAATATTGTTTCTTTATTGTGTTTTGATTGTTATGGGCTGAGGGGCCTTTTTGTGGTCAACTCTACTTGGTGATATCTAGGCTTTTTTTTTTTTTTTTTGGTTTTTCCAGTCAGGGTTTCTCTTATTGTTTGGTGGCCTGTCCTGTTACTCGGTGTGCAGACCACGCTGGCCTGGAACTCACAGAGATCCACCTACCTTTGCCTTGCCAGTGCTGGTATTAAAAGCGAACACCGCCAATGCTCGGCCTGTATGCTTCTTGTACTTTCATCGCATGTCTTTGTTTAGGTTGGGGAAGTTTTCTTCTATGGTTTTGTTCCATTTGTTTTCTGCACCTCTGCGGTCTTGTTCTTCACCTTCTTCTATCCCTATTTTTCTTAGTTTTGGCCTTTCACTGTGTCTCATATTTCCTGGATATTTTGTATTAGGGATTTGTTGGACTTAAGATTTTCTTTGGTTGATGAATCTCGTTTTCCTAGTGTGTTTTTAACACCTAAGATTCTCTCTTCCCTCTCTTGTGGTCTGTTGGTTATGCTTGCGTCTGTAGTTCCTGTTGTTTACCCATCTTTTACACTTCCAGCATTCCTTGAGACTTTTTTTTAAAATTGCTTCTATTTCAGCTTTCAAACCTGGCACTGATTGAATTACTTCTTGCACTTTTTTGATTGCCTTTTCTGGCATGTCTTTCAAGGATTTTCTCACTTCTTCTTTAGGGTCTCTATCATAATCTTCAAGAAGTTGGTTGTAAGCTCATTCTCTTCTGTTTCATCTGTGTTGGGATGTTGAGGGCTTGCCGGTATAGAGTCCCTAGACTCTGGTGGCCTCATATTGGTTTCTCTATTGTTGAATGCATTCTTTTTTTGTTGTCGTTGGTTTCACGAGCCAGGGATTTTCTATATTGTTTTGGAAGAGGTCTGTCCAGTCTGGCCTCCAACGTACAGGGACCCGCCTGCCTCTGCCTCCTGAGTGCTGGTATTAAAGGCGTGTGCCACCACCACCCTGCTATTGAATGCATTCTTATATTGTCTTCCCATCCCTTTTTCCAGTGGGTTCATGTGGGGTGTCTTCCTCTCCTGGTGGGTAGCAGTCCGAGGTTCTTTTCTGGTGGCTGCAAGCATATCCACTACTCTGATTGGTCCCACTGTGGGTGCACAAAGGTTGATTAGGAGAGTGTTATCAGCTGACTCTCAGTTGCTTGGTGAGTGGGGTGGGGAGCATAGACCTGCTTGCTGTCCCTAGGCCTTGCTGTTTTCTGAACAGCATTTGTAACCATTTCTTTTTGGTGTTGTTTTTTTAAAGTGGAGGGTTCATTATAGAGCTGGACTTTTTGGTCCTCAGAAACTCTCTATGTAGACATGGTTAGAAGGAAAAAAGGTAAACATTTCTCTGCATGTTGAGTGTTGTGATTAAAGTGGCACCAGCAGACAATGCTATATTAGGTTCTGGAGTTTTGTTCAGTTTCCTTTGTTTTGATTTGATTTGATGTGTTTGTTGCGTGGGCAGCTTTTATGCCTGTGCAGCAAGTGTGCCTGATGAAAGCTATTATGTAAATTAGCCAGTAGAGGGCTGGTTTACAGTACTCAGAACCAGAAGCCAATTTTAGTGGGCATGGCCATGAGGAGCCTCTCCAAGGAACTGCCCTGCCTTCAGGGGAAATTCTTCCATTTTCTGTAGGTCTGTGGATTACCCGTGGAGGGAACCAGGTGAGGAAGAGCCTGCAGTGTGCCTGTGGGGTGGCCTAGGAAAGTCAGAATCAGGAGCTCAGTGGTGGGAACCATACACTGGCCCCCCCTGGAACCTCCCAGGTCAGCGGAGACCAGTGCTGTGACCACGGAGGGAGAGGACAGGGCTGTGCCCTCTAAGCTGCTCACAAGGACACCATCAGTTCCGCTGGCGCCTCTGGCTTTGAAGGCAGTGGCTCAGGTCGTCGCCTATGGCCAGGTGCCATTCTTTCCATCCCCATGAGCCAGGCGCCTCCCCATGCACCACACCTGCCCCTTAAAAGTGTCCTTTGTCTTTCTTCTCTCTCTAGATCCTCGTTTGCTCTCTGACCGGTTCTCTGTCTGGGGGTCTTCTCTCTCCTGTCCTTGCTTCCAGATGGTCTTCTCTTATGCTCATCCTCCTCCCCAAGCACATGCTCACCCTAGACCTGTTGCTCATGGAGTGAGCTCTTAGGGGCCAAGGACCGGCCACCTTTCTGCTTACCATTACAGACACAGCTTTGGATATTCTGTCGTTGATATGTTACCATGGATGATAGGTTTCAGATACCATGAACTGGGGATTACTGTGTGACTCTTTTTTCTTTCTCACTAATGGCGCCCAGATGATTCTGTCATAAAATAATTCTTAAAATGACCTCATAGAGCATTTGCATTGGCTGTTGTTTGCAAACAGGATATGTTTGTTATGGTGGCAATTCCAGGGCTCATGTAATTTAAATTCATCCATGCTTTCTGAAACCCCTGTTTTACCACTTGCCTCTTCCAGACAGTGTCCTTTGTCTCTGAGACTGGGCATCCTGAGAGAGCTTTGTAGATAATAATAACACGAAGAACCAATGCAGATATGATTAAACAAAATATATTTCATACAGGGTCACACATGGTTATAAACATTAAAATTTTACATTCCAATAATTCTCCCTCATCATCATATTCAGTCTAAGATGTAAATACTGACTTCAGAAACATGTCTTCATTTACTGTGTTGTTAAGTAGAGACAATGCCAACTTATATGCTGTTAGAATATTTCATGGCACACAATTTTAAAGTTACCAAACTCGGTTTAGATGTAAAGGAACTTATAAGGCATATATATATATATGTATGTATGTATGTATGTATGTATGTATGTATATAGTCAACTTTATCAGAAAATGTTCCTTTTTGTTGAAGAAACCTTCCCTGTCCATTTATACATGGCCAGACTCATTTTATGTCAAGGATTGTTGTGCGTATATCAATGCTGTGACTGTGCATTTCTTGGAGAAGGAGTGGGAATGCCTCAGCCATACTCACAGTGCATTTACAGAGATCTCCTGCTGGAGAATTGCAGCAGTGAGGGTTCTGGGGGTGAGAATAGTTTCTTGCAGTCTCCCTCACTCCTCAGGGTTCCTGGGAAAATGACTATTCATGTGTTTGAGCTGTATGTGAAATGGTCTCACATATCACGGTTAAAGTGAAATCCTCAGTCAAAGACAGATTTCCCTTGATATTTTCTCCCCATGTTTATCCTACTGGAAAGAATTAAGTACCTTTCATTTATGCTCCATGGGAAGTTCTAGGTGATTTTCACAAAATTTCTTTTCCTTGTGCAAAAAGAAACAAACAAAGAAGATCTTGGTATAAAGTCTTTGAATCTTCACAGAACATAAACATCATTTCATGTATTCTCACAAGTTTGAATGAAAACATGCTATCATGGTTTGAGTTAGGTAGTATTCCTATGTCTTTTTTTTTCTTCCTCTTTTCTGTCTACTGATGCTGTTAGCATTCAAGGTTCTAGGAGAAGATACTTTTAAACATTGATCTTTAGTAGGTTTGAAGATTTGTTGTATTCCTAAGAAAATGCCACAGTATACCATGCTGATTGAAAGGTTGAGGTGACTGGGCGTTTTCTGTTATATGAATGATTCTCTGCAAGCCTGCTAGTCATTATTGGTTTTCTGTGCTAGTCTTCATTCTTAATGCAGATGTTGAATCTTCTCTGGAACATTGTCTCTTTGCTTCCAACAATTCTGTCATGGAGGGTTTCGTAGATTTGGAAAGTATTTTCAGGAAATGCATTCATCCCAATCACATAGCTTTCTGGAAATGTACGATTTGGTCATCTGGTAATAGTCTTTGTTTTGCAATTTTATAGAATCAACTTTTGTATTAGCTACCGTCACCATGTCCAACTCTCTTCACAAGAAATCTTTTTTGAAAAATTCCTTCACCTTTAGCACTTTGCATCCTTATATTTGAAGGAAATACTTTTTTGGAAAGTATATATTTTGATTTTATAGTGTTTCCTCCTATTTTTGACATCTAGATGTAAAATTTCAACAAGAGCTCAAGTTTTCTCCTAAGACACTCGGAGAAGAGCCACAAGAACAATGGATGCTTCTGTGGTAAATGCTCCCCAGGTCAGTGTCATGTTCACATTTTTATGCAAACGTCATGATGCATTATGCCTCTGTTTCTCTGAGGTCAGCACAAAACCATGGGCACTGAAGTCATACATTGTAGTCATTGTCATGTGTATATAGAGAATTAAATTAGGTTTCTCTATAGGTACAGAAAGGGGCTCTTACATCTGAGCCATGTCTTCATGCTGGTGGGAGCTTGTGATATTATATAACACTGTATATTCTAGTTTCAAAAATAAAGGAGTAAACATAATTGATAGCTGTCTATGCTAAATTCTTGTTACAATTATTTTTCATTGCTATTATATACATTTATTTTGGTTATTGAAAATATTTCTTGTTCATCTGATTGCTTTGTCACATATGCATTCTCTTTCCATATATATTTCCAAGTATTCTGAAGTATTATTCATGAAATTGTCATTTTCAAAATTGTTTGTGTCAACTTTTAGAAAAATTCAAATAACACTAATGTTATCTAATTCTGGTTTTCTGTTTATTTCATGGTTGTAATTCTTCCTCATGAAATAGCTTCACAATGTACTTGATTCTATGTGTTGTTAAGAGCATTGGTCATATGCAATGATTTTATGTTCTTTACACTCAAGAAAAAAGTGAGTTTATTTTATCCATGGAATCTGCATTCTGAATCCAACCGCTTTGTTCTAGAGAGTGTGCAGCATTATAACTGGGCCTCAGGATCTGAACTGAGCATTTTGGAATAGTCATGTGAACACAGTTTCAGACAGCATCCATGTAGTGTCCATAGTAAGCAAGGTTGACTGGTGTACAAATTCAAAGCATAATTTTGCTCATTATAACCTTACCATCTGAGACATGACAATGAGATTCTGTTTGATATCAGCACATATTTCATAAAGGTACATTCCTGCATCTAGATCTCAAATGTGTATGTTGTATTCCTTAAAGTTTGCTCATTGCAAGACTATTATGTCATTCTGCTTTTACACAGACAAAAAGGACAATAGTCCCTGAATGGTATAGAAAGTGTCTTTTATTAAAATTAAATTGTATCATTATTTTTTGTGTTTCCATATGTTTCCCAAAAAGTATGTGTAGTGTGTATGACTCCTGCCTAAAATGCAGCATAGAATCTCAAGGATCTGAGATAACATCTTGTTTTGTAGTGCCATGTTTGTTCTGACAATCAAGCTATATAAAAGGACGTTAAGATATTACAGACTGTAAACAGGAGACAAAATTTTTCAAATGTACTCATTTGGCAATATTTTATGGTACTCAAGTCTTAGAAAACATCAGAATATTCATGGAGGAGAGACACCAAATTAATGTAAGCAATGTACTATGTCTACCTATACATTGTCTTTGAAAGAGTAGGCATGGGGGACTTGTAGAAAAGTCATGACCTTTAACAATTGACATGCCTCATCTATATCACAAGCATATCTCTAATTCATTAGGTCTCTTTGATATGGGGGAGGTTTCTAGACAAGGTTTCTCTGTGTCTTTGAAGGCTGTCCTGCAACCAAGCTTGCCTGCCTCTGCTTCCTGAATGCTTGGATTAAACGTGTGTGCCATCACTTCATGGGTCATTAGGTTTCTTTTACACAAGAAATCATTTTGTGGAGCAGTGCATGGTAAAAAGGTAATTTTGCATTGCAGGGTCTGTTATCACTCAGGGATGTGTCTGTAGACTTCTCACAGGAAGAATTGCAATGTCTGGACTGTGAACAGAGGGCTTTGTACTTGGATGTGATGTTGGAGAATTACAACAATCTGCTTATTGTGGGTAAGTGTTCTAGTCTCATAGAACTCCTGATTCATCCTTTTCATTACCCTACTTTGTGTATCTGTAAACTCTCTGAAACTAGAAAATCCCAGAAATGAAGAAAGTTTTGGTTACCAGATAACTGGTGTTTCATTTACATTTTCTGTGTTCTCTAGAAGAGTAAAGAATACTTTCTACCTACTATCTAATATGCAAAGAACATTACAAAGGTCAAAGAATATTGACTTGTCAGGGCATGGAAATATATTGTCGTACTTATCATAATTAGAATATTTTAATTTTATTACTGGATTTCAGTCTTCACCTATTTCTTATTATAAACAATGCAAAAGGTTTTAGAGAAAGGGCTGTTGATTATAAGAAAGTTGTGTGGCTAACTAATTTATTTTATGATTACCATGTTTAGTACTGGCATCACATGATATTAATATTTCTACTTTACAGCCTGAATCTAGAAGACAAATTTAGTTCCCTGCAAATGTGGTTTTTGAATTCCACGTTATGTTACTCTGTCTCAAATCTAAAGATATAGGGAATCATTCTCATAATCCCTCTCAGAGCTTCTTTCTCAAGTTTTTTCCTTCCCAATCTGACCAGCTGCAAGGGACAGTGTTTATATAAAACCTGAAGACTCTTCACCTGAATGATTTAGGCCATCTAAATTTGTATGACTGTTGTTTAGTTTGGTCTATTTGTGGAACTTCTATCAGTAGGATTAAAGCCTTTCCCTAATACTTTGAATTGGTATCCAGAAACTATTCCTGGGAGTTGGTTTCTTCAAATAGACTTAATGCAAAGGGAGGAACTTAGATATACCTCAACTTAGTATGCCATGCTTTGTTGAAATCAATGTGAGAACTGCCTCTTTTAGAACACAGAGGAGGACTTATTGGGGGCATGATGGCGAGCCAGGGAGAGGTAACACACAGAGAGTGAGGAAGGGACTGTAGAACGATGTCAAATGAAAAAAAAAACAAATTAAAAAAAAAAAACAATGAGTAGACCAATATTGGTTACTGTGGTTTGCTGTAGATCAAATTGGAGATTCTGAACATCCATTTATTGATTGTTAAACAGAAAAGTCCTCTGTTAATAGTGCTGTCCCTGAAAGTTACTAGTTTATATGTCATAGAAAACCTAAGATAACATCAGGTATTGAATCTGTTACTCATGCATTAATTGCTATTATTCACAATTGTTCTAATTTTTCAGAGTTCTATCACCTATGTGGCAAATGGGAGACCATCTTGCACCAAGGCACAAAGCATTTTATCCATGACCATGAAATTATTCAAGAGAAGTCTTACACATGTAATGAGTCTGGCAAAGTGATTCTTGAATCCTGCCAATGTACACCTTGTGACACAATGGATACTGCCAAAAATGTCAACAAGTACAGATTTGGTAACCACAGAGATGCCTCTAATGAAACCTTAAACCTCAACAGACACAACATTGGGAATGCTGGGGAAGAAACTTGCAAATATGAAGATTGTATAAAGTTTTTGTATTTGTGTTCCATCTTTAGCCAAAATCAAAGAACTCACATAGGAAAGGAAATCTACAAAAATGCAGAGCATGATGCAACTTTTGAGTCTAATACTGAAACCAAACTTAAAGAAACTGATTGCGGAGAGAATCCACATCAATGCATGCAATGTGAATTCTTCAAGACTCACTCAAACCTTGTTAGGTATCATGGTTGTAGTAAATCAGTTCTGAATTTTTCACAACTCAGTATGTATTACAAAATCCATTGTAGAGAAAATCCCGACAAATGTACAGATTGTGGCAAGTTCTTTAATTATTTATCAAAGATTGAAAGAAATTTCAACATCTACACTGGAGAGAAACCTTACAAATGTAGTGAATGTGACAAATCCTTTTCCAAGAAATACCATCTATCAAATCATCAGAGAGTCCACACTGGAGAGAAGTCTTACAAATGTAGTGAATGTGGGAAATCCTTTTTCAGGAAATACAGTCTTACACTTCATCAGAGAATCCACACAGGAGAGAAACCTTACAAATGTAATGAATGTGACAAATCCTTTTACAGAAGAGACCAACTTAGACATCATCACAGAATCCACACAGGAGAAAAACCTTACAAATGTAGTGAATGTGACAAATCCTTTCTCACAAAATACCATCTTGTAAATCATCAGAGATTCCACACAGGAGATAATCCTTACAAATGTAGTGAATGTGACAAATCCTTTAACACAAGATACTATCTTAGATGTCATAAGAGAATCCACACGGGAGATGATCCTTATAAATGTAGTGAATGTGACAAATTCTTTAATACAAAAGAGCATCTTAAAGCTCATCAGAGAATTCACACAGGAGAGAAACCTTACAAATGCAGTGAATGCGGCAAATCTTTAACCACAAAACACAATCTTATACTTCATCAGAGAAGTCACACAGGAGAGAAACCTTACAAATGTAATGAATGTGAAAAATCCTTTAACAACAAAAACCATTTTAGAATTCATCAGAGAATCCACACAGGAGAAAAACCTTACAAATGTAGTGAATGCGGCAAATCCTTTTCCAAGAAATGCCATCTTAAAAATCATCAGAGATACCACACAAGAGATAATCCTTACAAATGTAGTGAATGTGACAAATTCTTTAACACAGAAGATCACCTTATTGCTCATCAGAGAATTCACACAGGAGAGAAACCTTACAAATGCAGTAAATGTGACAAATCCTTAACCACTAAACGAAATCTTGTACTTCATCAGAGAATTCACACAGGAGAGAAACCTTACAAATGTAATGAATGTGACAAATCCTTTAACACAAAATACCATATTAGAATTCATCAGAGAATCCACACAGGAGAAAAACCTTACAAATGTAATGAATGTGACAAATCCTTTATCACAAAATACCATCTTAGAAATCATCAGAGATTCCACACAGGAGATAATCATTACAAATGTAGTGAATGTGACAAATCCTTTAACACAAAATACTATCTTACAAGTCATCAGAGAATCCACACAGGAGATAATCCTTACAAATGTAGTGAATGTGACAAATTGTTTAACACAAAAGACAATCTTAGAGCTCATCAGAGGATTCACACAGGAGAGAAACCTTACAAATGCAGTGAATGCGACAAATCCTTTTACAGAAGAGACAAACTTAGACATCATTACAGAATCCACACAGGAGAGAAACCTTACAAATGTAATGAATGTGGCAAATCCTTTTACAGAAGAGACAGACTTAGACATCATCACAGAATCCACACAGGAGAGAAACCTCACAAATGTAGTGAATGTGGGATATCCTTTTCCAGGAAAGACAATCTTACAAGTCATCAGAAAATTCACACAGGAGAGAAACCTTACAAATGTTGTGAATGTGGGAAATCCTTTTTCAATAAATACAGTTTTACACTTCATCAGAGAATCCACACAGGAGAGAAACCTTATAAATGTAGTGAATGTGACAAATCTTTCACTGAGAAACGTAACCTTACAACTCATCAGAGAATCCACACAGGAGAGAAACCTTACAAATGTAATGAATGTGAAAAATCCTTTTCAAAGAAATACTATCTTACACTTCATCAGAAATTCCACACAATATATAAACCAAAAATGTAGTGAATATGGCAAATCCTTTTCCAAAAACTGATATCTTACAACTCATCTCATAATCCGCACAGGAGAGAAATCTTACAAATGTAGTGAATGTGACAAATCCTTTAATACAAAATAGTATCTTAGAACTCATCAGAGAATCCACACAGGAGATAATCCTTAAAAAATGTAGTAAAAGTGACAAATCCTTCAACACAAAAGATCATCTTAGGGCTCATCAAAGAATTTACGCAGGAAAGAAACCTTACAATTGTAGTGAAAGTGGCAAATCCTTTAACAGAAGAGACCATCTTAAAATTCATCAGGGAATCCACACAGGAGAGAAACGTTACAAATGTTGTGAATGTGACAAATCCTTGTCAAAGAAATGCTATCTTACAACTCATCTGAAAAATCCACACAGGAGAGAAACCTTGCAAATGTAGTGAATGTGACAAATCTTTATCACAAAAGACTATCTTAGAACTAATCAGAGAATGCACCCAGGAGATAAACCTTACAAATGTAGTGAATGTGACAAATCCTTTTCCAAGAAATGTTATTTTTTAACTCATCTGAGAATCCACACAGGAGAGAAACCTTACAATTGTAGTGAGTGTAACAAATCATTTAGCAGAAAAGGCTGTCTTAGATTATAGATTATAAGAGCAGGACTTTCCCATAGAATATTTGTAACTGTTGATATTCAGTTTTCTGTTACTATCAGTTTGGGAAAAGTTATTTAATGCTCTAAAATGGACATTTTTCTCTTGTCTGGGCAACAATTGTCACCATGTACTGATTTAATTTGGAAAGAGCAGATTACCACTCTGTTTTGAGGTGTCTGGACTCTTTCCATTTTTCCACGTTAGGTTTAATGGTGTATATAGGGTTGTGGCTTCTAATGTACCTTGCACTGAAGTATGTTCTTCCTATTGCATGAATCTTAAAATCCTTCACAATGACTAAAGATGAAAATTTACCATATGTCTGTTGTGACTATATTAAATTAATCATTTTCCTTCTTTCAGAACCTAAAATTTGATGACTTACATGGGTAAATCTGTACATGTTAAAAAGTTTTTTTTTAATGCTTCATCTTGGGAGAGAAGGATAGATGGCCATTCACCTTGTGATTTCTGCAATCTCAGATTGCATTTCTCTATTTGCATAAGTTACATTACCTCCAGTCTTTAGAATAAGCGTCCTTGTACCATTTTCTTAGTGTCATTTGTGACCATTACCTTTTTGTTTGACTGGATATTTTGTCTTTATTTTGTTTTCTCATTTTTTGAAGTGGAAAGCTCATTAGACTACTGTTTGTTGACACCTCAAAGCAGGGGTATGGGAATCCACTGTTTATAAATTAATTCAGCACAGAGTGTCAGTTGTTGTTCTGACAGGACAAAATTGGCCATTTAAAAGGATTAAATACCTTACCAGAAACTGTTATTGACATACAACTCAATATCAATAGTTACAAATATTCTGTGGGAAAGTCCTGTTCTGATCATCGTTGGTGATTTCTCCCTCAGTCAGGAGGGAAAAAAGGGCAGAGCACTAGGACCAGTGTGTAAGAAACATGTTAGATACCTTAATGATAGCACCCAAAGTGCTAAGGGTACTGTGTACATTTGTGGGGAGAAGAGTTGTCAATGACCTTGCTCAGATGTTAACCCTCTGTGACATAACACCAACCTGCCAGGCGCAGTGTGTTCCTACACTGACAAAGCACAGGGCCACAAGAGCTACCAGAATCAATCAGCAGTAGGCTGGTCAGCCCCAATGTATTTTCCTTCTTTGTCTTCTTTGTAACCAATATCTTCTCCTTGAACCTCACTTGTACACATGCTCATAATGAATTCTGTTACAGAAAAGATTATGCATATGAAAACTTTCAAAAAAATCTATTGAACAAGCTTAAAAGAGCCAGTCTGAATCTGAGTCTCATTGTGTTGTTGGGATGTGGGTGACATTTAGAGGCATACACAGAAATAAATGAATACAAAACACTATTTAACTGAAGTCAAGGCTGAGAATTTAGACATACATCAGGTGTCCCATGTGCATGAGCACTATATACAAAAACTGTGAAACAAGTCACAGCTTGGTTGTTGCTTCCCTTGTCTTCCAAAAGCAGTGTCATAGTGGGAAGACAATTTTCTGTGTATTGAAATGAATTCTGTTTGAATTTTTGGCAAGTTCAAGGGAAATGCCAACCACTGGAAACCTGACCAACAGCCTATGACGGGGATGGTGACAGGCCATGAGAGAGAGTACACACATGATATTATGCTACTTGTATAGATGCTCAAACTGAGTTCACATGATTATTTGCACACCACAACCTGGTTCTGTTTCAGCCTCTGACCAATAAACTTTATATGCAATATGTGGTCATTATTTCAGGGATTCATCACTTGCCACATAAAGAGATTGCGTGAGAATTGTCTACACAGCCATAAAGAAAAATATCCATAGATCTGGTTCAAATACTAGGGAGTATAATGGAGGAGGGGACAACATATGGAATCAAAAGACTAAGAACTTTAGCTATGAAAAAAATATACTAAATATTAAGAAGAATATTCTGGAAACAGCTGAGGCAGCACAAAGAAGCTGAGCGTACAGTACACTCTCAGGGAATATCATTTATCCCAGCTGTGATTACAGATGGCAGTGCAGAGGCATAGGAGCAACAGAAGATGAAAACATAAGAGTATAAAGACACAGACCAATGCTAGGGAGCATCAGTTCCAGAAGCAGAACAACAATAATGACCACATGAGTGTCACCAACATAAAGCACTGGTGTTACACAGTAGTCAGCCTCATCAGTCAATGGTAATGACAAAACTATCTACCAGAGAGAATATATGGTTACAGGTCTGATTCCCACTCTACAATGAATCACATACAGATGGGGGATGTCCTGTATTCTGAAAATATATTTTTCTTACTGCTTGATGAATAAACCTGTTTCAGTTAGTGGACAGGCAGGATGTAGTCAGGCAGGAAGTGTGGGGACCAGAGACCCTGGCCAGAAACCCACTCCTCGATCAGCCTGGGAGCAGGCAGCTGTGAGACAATGTTTACTGAAAACAATTCAGTGCCATAAGTACTTGGTCACTGAAACACTCTGACTTTGATCTTCCCGATAGCTAGCTACTCCCTGTTGTTCCCAATTTTGGTGCCAGAGATTTAACCACCAGCCAGGAGGAAAGAGTAGAGGGATGTGTGAGAGGTATGTTGGAGATTTGTGCATGTATAGAGGGCAGAAGTGTTTCTGAAGGGAAGCGTTTTTCTTGGGAATTTCTCCTAAGCCAATATTGGGAGCATAAAGTATTCTTAATGCAACCGACTGGTCTCTGTGTCATCTATCGCGACCACCTTGCCACATTCTTGGGTACAGGCTGTGCAGGAGTCAAGGCAATTGGAGGTCCCACCGAGATCATGAAAGCGAGGTAACTGGGCAGGTATCGTCTCTCTTTTCTGGCCAGGGACAGATTGGGGAAAATAAGAAAATAAGCGATGGGAAATAGTTCCGGGAAGCTTGAATTACAATATCAAGTTACAAATTTACTTGAAGGACATGTGACTACAGTAAAGTCTAAAACCTAAGAAGACTTTCTAAAATCCATTGAACGAGCGAGTCCATGATTCATTACTGGGGGAAGCTTAAATATCCCAGATTGGGAGGAGGTTTGCCGTGATCTTCAGCAACTTTAATGAATAGAGGGACCCGAGTCCCTGCCTTCATCCACATTCTCCTTATGGAGATTAGTGAGGGGCACTGCCATCCCAGCAGGAGAATGGATTGCACAGTTACTCCTCCTCCCTACAGCTTATTGTAAGCCTCGAAAAATTAAAGAGAAAAGTGGTAACCAAGGTTTTGGAACTACTGGCCCAGCAGTATTTTCAGTAGCCACCATGGAGTAATCGCCCCCAGCTTCCATTACAGATAGAAGGCAAGTCCTTCAAAGGCATTTTAGATTCTGCTGCGGACATTTCTATCCTCTCAGACAAATTCTGGCCCCCTGCCTGGGCCAAGCAGGAAGGGTTGGTGACCCTCCAGGGAATAGGACAGGCTGTGCCACAAAAAAGCCTCAGAATGCTATGGTGGCCACACAGGGTTTTTGCAACCATATGGCCACACAGGGTTTTGCAACCATATGGTTTCTCCAGCCTCCTTACCAACCTCGGGGGACGAGACCTCCTACGAGAAATGGGAGTGGTCCTCACCACCAAAAACCAAGGTCCAAAAGTGGATCCCCCCAGCAAGGGATGGGCTGGAGTCAGGGGAAGGGACTAGATAAACTAGAGCAGGGAGAGGCTTGACCGGTGGCATCCCCCCTTTGAATACCAGGGCCCCAGGGGACAGGCCATTTTTAATGAGGGTCCCTGTTGCACCGTCAGCCCCCATACAGATCACATGGCTATCAGATGATCCGGTATGGGTGGAACAATGTCCCCTACCAGCAGAAAAACTCCAGGTGGCTCATCAGCTAGTTCAAGAACAATTGGAGGTGGGCTATCTGGTCCCCTCTACGTCCTCCTGGAATAACCCCATATATGTAATTAAAAAACCATCAGGAAAATGGAGGTCACTACAAGACCTGAGGGCCATAAATGTGACCATGCAACCCATGGGGGCGCTCCAGCCTGGCTTGCCCTCACCTGTGGCCATTCCTAAAAGACTGGCATTTGATTGTCATTGATTTGAAAGATTGCTTCTTTTCCATCCCCCTACATTCTCAAGATAGTCCTCGGTTTGCATTTAGTCTTCCTGCAATTAACTTTAGGGAGCCTGCACTTCGGTTCCAATGGATGGTGCTCCCCCAAGGGATGGCTAACAATCCAACTATATGCCTGATTTATGTAGCTGCCTGCTTAGAACCCCTCAGATGTAAGTTCCCTGATGTTTACATTGTCGACTACATGCACGATGTTCTTTTGGCCGCAGCCACGGAGAGGCAATGTTACATAGCCTTAGCAGAGCTACAAGAGCTCCTGGCAGCCTGTGGATTTATTTTGGCTCCTGAAAAGATCCAAAAGAGATCCCCTTATAATTACTTGAGTCATCAAATTCAACAAACTGGCCTCTGACCCCAAAGACTCCAAATTGATTGTTCAAATTTAACAATGCTTCATGACTGGCAGAGATTTTTGGGAGAGATGCAGTGGATTCGCCCTTCTATTTCTATTGAAACAGTGTCTCTTAAACCCCTTTATGATATTCTTCCTGGGGATCCCAATCCGACTTCCCCTAGACAGATTACCCCAGAGGCCAGGGATGCCCTACAATTTTTGTTAAAAAGTATAGAGCAAGCCAACATTCGGCGTATAGATTATGGGCAGCCTCTTGTTCTGGTTGTACTTTCATCTAGCTTTTTGCCCACTGCCGTGTTTTGGCAGACTGGTCCTATATATTGGATACATTTGTCAGCCTTCCCTAAGAAGGTAGTGATCCCCTACTATAATCTGATTTTACAATTGTTATGGAAGGCACACAAGTTTAGCATTCAAACCTTTGGAAAGAGTCCTGATAAAAGTATTCTTCCTTATGATAAAGAGAAGATGGAACATCTACAGACCTTCCATGATGGGTGGACCCTGTTTATTACATCTACAGGTTTGATAATCAGTATCCCAATAGCCCCTTGATGTTTTTTTTTTTTTTTTTTTTTTTTTGGTTTTTCGAGACAGGGTTTCTCTGTGGCTTTGGAGGCTGTCCTGGAACTCACTCTGTAGACCAGGCTGGTCTCGAACTCACAGAGATCCGCCTGCCTCTGCCTCCCGAGTGCTGGGATTAAAGGCGTGCGCCACCCTTGATGTTTTTTTTAAACAACACCCTGTGATTTTTCCCAAGGTTTTAAAGGAGAGTTTTATATTTGGTGCTCGCTCAGTCTTTATAGATGGTTCCTCTAAAGGTTTCGCGGTGGTGGTTTCTTCTCAGGTGCAGAAGAGGGTACCCATAGGGCAAATGTCAGCACAAGCTACAGAGTTGTTTGCTTGTTTGATGGCCTTCCAAATGTTTGAGGGGGAGCCCTTTCATTTATTTACTGATAGTGGCTATGTTGCCAACATTGTCAGACCTTTAGAAACCTCTCGATATGTTCTTCCAACCTCTCAGGTTCGTTCCTTATTAGTTCCGCTCCAACATCTTATTTGGCAGCGCATCTACCCTGCTTATGTGGGATTTATTCATGTACATACTAACCTTCCAGGACGCCTTGCCCAGGGCAATCAATTTGCTGACTCCTTGACCCGCCCTAGGGTCTTAAACACTCAGGAGCAGCTTGCCTACCAGCTCCATGAGCGATAACATCTAAATACCAGCTCCATTAAACTTCATACTGGGTGCCCCCTATCCATGGCTGCACAGATTACCTCTCAGTGCCTTGTCTGTGCCTCTTATCATAATTCTCCCAATGGGGGGTAAATACCTGGTGCCTCGGGGCTAACTATCTTTGGCAAATGGATATAACTCACCTGCCACAGGCAGGGAAATTAAAATACATGCATGTTTCGATAGATACGAATTCTAAACTGATTTTTGCCTCTCTCTACTCAGGAGAGAAGATTAAAGATGTTATTTCTCAGTGCCTGCAGGCCTTTGCCTACATTGGCATTCCCAATGCCCTAAAAACAGACAATGGCCCTGCCTATGTCAGCAATCACTTTGCTGCCTTTTGCAGTGAAGATCACATTGTCCACTCTTTTGGTATTCCTCACAACCCCACCAGACAGGCCATTGTGGAGCGTACCCATGCCACTCTCAAACAGTATTTAAAAAAAAAATAAAAAAGGGGGAATATGTCACCTCCCCCAATATTCAGTTATCCACCATACTTTATATTTTAAATTTTTTGACCATAGACACTAATAATTTGTCTGCTATGGAGAGACATTGGAACAAACCCTCCTAGTCTTTGGGATGGGTCAGATGGAAGGACTTAATTACAGGAAAATGGCAGCCACCCATTCTCCTATTAACTAGGGTCCGAGGGGCTGTTTGTGTTTTCCCTCCAGGAAGTGAGAAGCCTATTTGGGTCCCCAAACGGTGCACCAGGCATGTCTACCCTGATAGTGCTCCCGACACTATGAATGCTTGCCATGATAAAAGTGATCCAAACATTGCCAAACTCAGGTAAGGGAAGTATGGGCACTGGTGAGGAAAACCCCTCCCACTGTTTTGATGCCAGGCCCCACCCTCGAAGGTGTCTGTGTAGAAGCAAATTAAGCCTTGTCAGCTCAGATGCAAACAAGGCCTTGTCAGCTAGTGAGAGCTCCCTGTTAGAAAAAAAAATCACTCACAGACTTCAGATAATTTTCAAAAATTTTTGGGACATGGTATAGTTTACAATCCTTAAATGATTCTCAAAAGTACTTAATGGTTATGTCCCTTTTAAAGGATATATACTAATAATTTAAATACTGATCCCAATTCACCTAGATAGTTGACTAAGGAGGGTAGACAAATACTTCTACTGTTATGGTCCAATGTCAACAGTTCAAACAAAATTTTTAAAAAAAATTTGAAAAGGGGGAGCAATATCTCCAGTCCCCACATGATTCATTGAATAATCCACTTCTCATTTAAAAATTTTTAAAATGTAAATGCCAGTGAGTAATCTGCTTCAGACAGATACTGGCATAATGGAACTTGAACAACTATTACTCAGGTCAAATGGAGACATCCATACACTAGACAGTGGAGAAGACCCTAATTTGGGGTCGTGTCACACCTGCTGTGTGGCCTGCATCCGAGATTGTAGCGAGGTGGTCGGGATAGATGACACAGAGACCGGGCGGTTGCTTTAAGAAAACTTTATGCTTCCCAAGTCAGCTTAGGAGGAGACCCCAGTCCACTTAGGAGACAGTTCTCAGGAGAAGTCTCTCCAAGAAAAAAAGAGCTTCCCTTTTTAAGGACTTCTGCCATTCATCTACATACAATTCTTTTCAGACTTCTCACCCTCCTGGCTGGTGGTTTAATCTCCGGCCCCAGAATCAGGGAGACACCACAGGGGGGACAGGAAGAAGCATCTAGCCATAGGGGGTGTGAAAGGCATGGTATTTCAGTGAGCAAGCCCTTATCTGAGCCCTATCAAGAGCTTTAGCACTGAATTGTTTTCAGTAAACATTACACAGCTGCCTGCTCCCAGGCCAAAGGGGAAGTGGGTTTCTGCTCAAGGTCTGGTGTCCCCACAGGGTCGAGGGCATGTTTGTGTTTTCTTGCAGGAAAAGAATAAAGCTTTGGCAGCTGTTACAACATTTGGTGAGATGCATGGAGCAGAAAAAAACTGGACCTGAGACAGTGGGAGCCTGCCCAAGCCAGTTCGAGATCTCCTAAATCA